TGTGTGTGTGTGTGTGTGTGTGTGTGTGTGTGTGTGGTAGTGTCTATATATGTCTGCACACCCATCTATAGGTTTATTGAATTTTATTTTGACAAATAAAATAGAAATTAATGAAATGCTCACGAACTAGTTGCACTTTCCCATCTTTTATTGAAAAGAAGCGAAGTGATGGTTGGTTGATTGGTTCATTGGTGGATGTATCGATATGTAAAACAATGAATCATTTTAATGAAATGTGTCATGTGAAAAGAAATAAATGGTAAGTGAAGAATAAAATGATTTGGAAAAAAGTTGAATTAAGGATTTAAAAATAAATATTAGGATTTATTATGATTCATTAATAAAAGTTATTTTCAAACTGACCATATAACTAACTCATTCACTTTTATTACGAGAATAATAATTTCATTTAGTTTTGAAGAATTAAACAATATCTAACTAAAAAAAATATGGTATTATGTATTGTATGGCATTATGTATCATTATGTATCGATGTTACGATCTGATCTTAAATCGTATCAATTTTAATCAAAAAACTAAGGGTATTAAAAATTATATAAAAATTGAAATGGTATATTTATAGATTGCTTTTTAAGATAATTAATGTCATCGATTTTCTGAATCTTTAACATTCATCATCATTGACATTGTATTTTTAGAAGATTCTTCCATCAATATCAGCATAATATCCAGAAACTTCATTTTAAGTCTTTCAAAATGCAATTTAATAACATAATCATTTTCTTTGTAACAATACCTTATCAGACATTGATAACACTAATGATACGATTTTGTAAAAAAAAAGAAAATTTCAGTCGGACGATTTCTTTTGATTGATTTTGAATTGAATGAATTTCATCTCATTAATTCGACAACAGAGCTCATAAAAGATTAAAAAAGATTTAAAACGAGTCGATTTTAACAAATGCATCTTCGATCAAAGATTTTTTGAGCCTTCTCTCTCTCTTTCTCCCGCTCCTCTACCCCCTTCTTCCCCCGTACCTCTTTCCCCATTCACATTTCTCATTCCATGTTTATACTGATTATCAATCACATCCCCAACTTGACTAATTAATTACAAGCATATTAGTTTTCAGTACTAGAAGTAAAAATAGAGAAATTTTAAAACTGTTATTGTCATTAAAAAGATATAATATTGCTCATTGCTAAACGTTAAAACAACAATTAGAAATTATTTTGTTTGTGCCAGTGTAGTAACATTATCTTCTTCCATATATAACTTCAAAAAATTCTAGAAAAAAAAAGATATTTTCTTCCAGAAAAAATTAAAACGATGCGTATTTATGCGGTAGATCAGACAAGAAACAAATATAATTAATTCTTACAATATGAATTCATTTAAATACCTTGAAAATTTCACCAAATATCTTAATATAAGAAAAAAAAAACATTCAATAATTCTGTTAGCTAAATTTTCATGATGAATTCTATGCATCGAATTATTATGGCACAAATTTCAAAGGTTTAAAAGTTTTTGTTTTTTTTTTTTTACAGAGGTCATTTAGTAAAATAGGTGACACTTACCATAAATTAGAAGCAAAGAAATATGAAACAAGTAACGAAAAATTTTTGATATTTAAGCACATTTATTGAACAGTTTGTATCAAATAGCATGGGAAGAAGGTTCAATTTTCCAATATTTTTATATTGTAATTTGATGATTCATTAGCAACTTGCGGACAAATGCAAAAATTTTCAAGAACATTGAGAATGGATGCTATTTTTCTTACAAAATCTCCTAATTAATATTTCTTGAAATGCTTTTTTTTTTTTGTTTTACAAAACTTGAAGTATAATTAAAATATTCTTTCATTCAAATGATAACCATTCGAGATCTTTTTTCACAAGCTCTCAAGTAGTATATAGTATAAATCTTTAAATTCTCAGTTTTATCAATATATTTATTTTAACCATTCACTGTTTGAAAAAAAAATTATTTCTTTTCAATTTCAATCAATTTAAGGAATTAAAAAAAATAAAAAATACAAGCTGGAGCATCTTTTGGTTGAATCAGTTGCCGATCTTACCGAACATTGCTTCATGTTTTCATTCGATTTGATGAAAATTCGATTATAAAGTTTATGCCCACGTCCAGAAACAAGATGTCCAACAACAATTCATATAGCCATTTATAAAAAATAACTGGATGAAATTTTCTTTCAATTAATAGAGAAGAATTTACGTAGAAACAACGAGTTTTTTTTTTTCATTCGATTTTCATTTATCATTAGTTACAGAGAGGGAAAGAGAAAGAGAGAGAGAGAGAGAGAGAGAGAAAATAAATATACATACATATATGTATATAAAACTTCAAGTAGTACAGTTTACATGAAAGAGCACAAATATGTTGTTTATCAAACGATAAAAATACACCTATCAAATTTCTTCATCAATTCTGAATGGTTAATTTAGTCAGATGAAATAAAATGTATTGTACCAAGTTTATAAAAAAAAAAAATTGAAGAAAAACTTGAAGAAAATACGAAATGAATTTCTAGGATTCCCAGATTTGTTCAACCAGTTCTTCTATTCAGAAGGCGGATAAAAAAAAAAGAAGAAAGAGATACCGCCTGTTTCCGCTGAATGGAAACGGTACAGAATAGATAGATTTATATGAGGTAGAAAATGAAGAAAATAATGATTAAACTAAAATCAAACGCTAACGATATTGATGGCGGGCGCAAATGGACCATCTCCGAATGTTTTCGTCAAATCCCGCTAAATATCACTTTTTTCTTATCATATCTTTTTTTCCTCATTGTGCTATTCATTTATAATAATAACTGGTAATTCTTTTTCTTTTTCATCATTCTTAAACCAATTAGAAAAAGTTAAAAATGGAAGAAGAAAAAAGAAAGGAAAAAGAATATGTTACAAGGAGAAAATATGAGTGTAATAATGAATATCAGTACAATAACAATAAGCAAAATGAAAGCATAATAAAAAGTATGCTGTTGTATATGTAAAGAATACATATACAATAAAGAAGATGCAAGTAATAATAAGGAATTATATGGATTCAGTAAAGAGATTAATTAAATAGAAATTGATTTAATTTGGAAAAAAAAGATGAAATATAGCAATAAGGAGAATGAAAGAAATAAATAGGGAGAGAGTTGAAGATACAGTAAGAAGAAATGCATTATCATTAAATAATGTGATATTAATCGCTCTCAATTATATATCTTTGAAAATATGTAAACATATGTTTACATATTTCTTTCTGATTCATCTCTTTTTTTTCTGGTAAATATTTGTAAAAATTTTGCATGTGAACATTTGAAATAAGGAAAAATAGAATGAAAAAGCACAGAGAATTCGTGGAATAATTTCTATGAATTTTTTAAGCCTAGAAATTTTGCCTTTAGCTTTTCATTTAAAGTAATTTGAATCATCAATTACAGAAAGAAATTAAAATTTCAGTAGAGGAAGAAGGAATTTTGGAATGAAACGAATTAAATCTTACTGATTAATTTATAGAACTTCATCCGTCAATGTTGTTCTCTTACGGCGAAGAATATTAACACATTTCAGAAAAATACATGCAAAAAATGACCGTAATTGTTAGAACAAAAAATATAAGGAGGAAAATACTTGAAATTAGCCTTTTCACCTTCCTCATTCTATAAAAGCAAAGTTTAGAAGAAAGAAGAAAAAAAGAATTGATATTTAGCATGCTAAAAATGAAACTTAACAAGCATGTCAAAGATTGCATTTTGAGAATAAATTATAACAAATATTACCGAGCTTATCTATATATTTTGGATCATATACAAAGGAAGGAAAAAAAAAAACAAAAAGTAAGTCAGAGATGACTTAGACCTTCAGAAAATTACGCATCGGTGCATTTGATAATGATATGATAGTTGAATCAAAGATCGGATTCAGAAAGGAGGACAGGGCGTGGGTGGGGAATGTTTTAGTGATAATCGAGAATAATCACTGGTATTGAAGTAGTTGACATTCTCTCAATTCTCACTCATTCAAGAAGAGTCGGAATTGAGAGACGGGAAGAGTTCCCGGCGATTGCTGAATGCATCAGCCAAAAAATGATCAGTAGTGATACCGAAGGTTCATTGGTCTGGGGTCAGTTTGCGATTCTCGAAGATTTGTCATTTACATTTCAGTATGGATTGGCTGTGTCTCTCTGACGGGGGGATATTTTTGGGAATGGGAATAGATAAATGTTGATGATTGATGGTTCAATGGTCAGGTTAGAATAATAATTACTTTGATATATGGATTAGAAGTGGATAGGTTATGAATTAAAATATGAATGATTGAAATTTTGAATGAAGCAGCATGCTTTCTTATATTATTCAGATGAAATATTTGCAACAAAATGTTGGATAATTTCTTTGATCTTATTTGAATTTCAGAATTGATATGCTGAGGAGAAGCCAGTATGGGTGCATTAAGTAGTAGTGTTCGAAAAGAATCGAGACCTGATTGGATTGAACCAACCTCAACACGTAAAGGTGATACTGTTCAACATAGTCGTTTAACAGCATTTCTCCAAGACAAATGTTTCGCTGAGAAATTAACAAATTTTCGTTGGCGACGAAAAGTTAGTGTAATTTTTTAATTAGAATTATATGTAAAATATAATTTTTGGTAAGATTATTCGTTAAGCTGCTAAAGTGATAAGCGCTGTATGATAGTTTTTAAGATTTAGAAAAATCACGAAGTTGTTATTTCGTCTTTTAATTATAGTTCTATCGGAAAAATTATTCTGAAATTTATTCATAGTATTTTCCTTAATAGTTAACTATAAATTCAGTGCATTGATTATGCTTATGGCTAACTTTCGTTTGTAGAATTCATTGAGGAAACGGTGTAGAGATTTAAATTTGTCTTTTTCTTTGAATTTTTCAAAAGAAAGATTATATGACATCAATTTCATCATCATTTCAAGAAGTTAAAAAGAAAAAATGAAAAATATTTAGTTTTATTGTTTTCGTTGCAGTACCGACAAATATCACGCGAAGATCAGCATGCTTTTTGCAATCTCATCAGTCACTGGACAAGTACTGAACTTGTTGCTTTACTTATGGAAATGGAAAGTGCCTGTGGAGTGCGGGAATTGATTTCGATGGCTGAAGAAGCGCGACCTAGCACATCTGTTTTAGCAACAGATCTGCTGAATGCATGGAAAAATGAAGTAGTTTCTGACTGCTTTATTATACATAAGGTAATTATAATTTTATTTTTCAATAATAATTCCAAAGACAACTATTTTTGTCTAAAAAGTTTTTATCTACATTTTTTTGAGATTCATTTTTTAATTAACTATTAAAAAATGAATCTCAAAATTCCGACTCTTTTATCAGTTTTGACCTTATGATTAGACTTTAAGCAGTTAAAAGGAATAATCATTCAATTCAAGAACTTTTGAACAGTAAATAATAAGTATTGTTGTTCATCTATTTTTTGTTGGTTTGAAAAATGTCTAAAGTAAGATTCGTATGTTATTTATAAAAGAGAGTTTATTTTACCCTCTGTGCCTTTAGTTGCTACTAAAATTTTAAAATGTCATAATTTTATTGGAGCGCTATATCATTTTCTAAACACGCTATGCATTTGCTATTACGTGAAATATTTTTTTATTCATTTTATTATAGCAGTTAACTTGCATTACTTCCAGGAATTCCGCTATGCTGCTCATTCTTTTATACTTCGAGCACGTTGTCGTTATTTTTCTGATTTATGGAATTCGCTAGTTACACAGCAGTCAGGTGATGCAAAATTGGAAATTCTATTCACGGATAATAGCATATCATCAGAAACATTTCAAGCAATGTTGTACTATATTTATTCTGGTGAATACGATAAATCATTATGTGATTTCAATCGGCAGTCATTTAATGCCATTTTGCAAAGGTTTTATTTCAAATAAGTCAGCCACCTGGCTTTGTTTTATTGCGAAGTTATTTCATTAAAGGGTTGGATTACGTCAGTCTTTCTCCTAAACCGAATGTTTCCAATAAAATTAACATCAAAGTTTCTTATGGAGAACTCGGAAAACCTTAATTATTTGAAATTTTAATTTTGTCTATACAATTAAGTTTTTTATTTTCTATATATCAAGGTTTTTCTGAGTTCTTCATAAGAAAATTGTATAGATATTGGCTCTAACAAATAATGGATGTGCCGGATAATAACCAGCTTTGTATATTGGCTATCGTACTTACATTCATGAAGTTATTTGATTTCAAGATATGGTTGTGGTTCATCGCTTTCCGGTGACCTTATGGCAGCAGATTCCCAGAGAGGCGAATGTACTTTGGTTTTTACAACAGGAAACAGTAATATTTTAATTAAATCCATATATTCTTTGTTATTATCGTAAACTCTTCGGATACAGGTTGCAGAATTTTTAGGAGAAGGGAGTCATAATGGAGATCGTGATTATCGGGTGAAATGTTCGGCAGTAGTTCTGGCAGCACGATCCAGTTATTTGCGATCTATGATAGAAAAGCGTATTTTATGTAATGAAAAGTTGGAAATTGTCATCAATGAACATCTTTTTCCACGCATATATGCACGCATTATTTTGGATGCGATTTACACGGATCGATTGGATTTGAATAAGGTGTCATTGTTTCGTATTAAATAAATAAAAATAATGA